TAGATAATTACTTCAATTTGTACCCACGTGACATTATAATACTGTATATATTAACTGTAAAATGGGTCATAAGGCTGTATATTACCGAATGAAGTGTCTGTCTGTCTGTCTGTAGCACAACGTTGCACAGTGTTTATACGGATTATACGTACACTTCATCGTCTGGCTTGGCGGCGTTGTACTCAGAGTGCAAACAAGCGCCATGCACAGGATAGAAATTAATTTGTATTAGTTATATATCTATGCAACCTTCTATATTACATTTACTCTATTTGCTCATATGTATTGCATTCAGATGCCTGTATCTTTATTTGACACAAGCATCTCTCAAATCGCTACACGCTGAGCACTGTTTACAAACAAATGTCACATGACTATCACATGACATTACACATCCTGTTGATGTTGATGTGACGAACTTCTATTTTGCACACAAACACATAAGAACAACGCGAACATTTGCTCACCGCGAAAGATATGTTTTGATTATATGAATAATGAGTAAATGTTTATTGGGTACAGAAGGGATAATATACCCTCACTTCGATTTGCCTCTCTGAAAATATTCTGCCTGCGGATGATAAGACAAGAGCCAGGTCAATGACAGGTACTGTATACAGACGGCAGAAGGTTTGTATTCTTTTCATATAATGGTCCGGGTTTTTTTCATTTAGGCCCATTCATCGTCATATCGTGATGTTGATACAAGGCAAAATTATCAATGATTTATATTCCTTGACAGTAAGGTATACGTGTCACAAACACAGCTGTCACTGCAGGGGAAGGGCCGTTGTCGGCAGGGGTATTCTTCATAAAGGATATTAGCAACTGATAATTCGACTGGTACCTGGCACAGGTACTACAGATGGAGGACATTGTTGAATGAGGGACCATATCATAGATCTCATTATGGTCTCTGCTTGAACAAGGTAGTTTAGTCTGAGGTACTTTCACCATAAATATGCATAGGAGATATCAACCCAACATCCAAACTAACATCAAATGATGCAAGTGATTCTACAAATGTCAATAACGCATCTGTCTTTATCTATTGAGTTATCTATCCGTGTTATGGATAGACACATCCCAACACATCCAATCCAGTATGGAGAACATCACCTGGTTGGTTTTTATATGTATATGTGCGTAGATCGATGCTCATGCTGTTGATCACTGGATTATCTGGTCCAGACTTGATTATTTAGTCTGCCGCGCTGGAATACTGCTGAGTAGTGTTGGGAATTGGTTGAAATCTCACAATTGATGATTGGTTCAATACCACCGACCAATCATCGACAAAAAAATTGATTAGCGTCATTTTTTAGATTTTCCTATTCAGGTTGTAGTTGCAGATAAATATAAATAAAAAAACATTTGGTTCTGTTTGTTTTTTTAGAAACGTCACAAATTACATTTGCAGATTTCACATCCAATGTAAAATGATTCAGTTCCAGTGTAACCTTAACTTCCCAGATTCTTCAAGAAATATTCAGTCATGACTTTTCAGAAAGTTCAGCGAGTTTTCTTAGAAATAAACACGTTTTCAGGCCCTGACAACGTCCTAGATATGTTCGATCATCCAGTATTTCAAACTCTATACACTGTGTGGTGTGATGTAAAGGGTGTGCTGGTATTTCATTATTCCAGCACTATCACATCTTGGTGTGTACACATAGGGAATTGAACCCTGGGGTACAACATCTTTAACTTCAACCCTGCAGTCTCCTATAGAGGAATATTGTTTTAATGAACATGGACATGACATGTTATTGGTTTATAAGAACTGTCTAAAAACTTCATCTCTCTACTATATCATGCAGTATGTTATCACGCAATTTTCATGCCTGAAGATCCAGGTTAGAATTGGCAACCCATGCTGACGTGTGTCATTGTTTACCAATTGCGGAGGTCGATGCTCATGATTTTGATCAGTGGATTGCCAGGCCCTGACTCCTTATTTACAGACCGTTGCCATATAGCTGGAATATTGCTGAGTACGATGTTAAGCAACAAACAAAATAAAACACATCATTCCCATGCTAGTTATGAATTCTTTAGTATTTCATTTCTTAGCAGATATATGGTCCTTAGTTTACAACTCAAAGACACAAACACCATAAGCTTCTCCAACAAACTGGTCAGACTGTGTCAGCTACCATTAACTAACGCCTTGTGCCAGTCTGTGTGGTATGGTCACAGCTTATGCTTATTGTCCAAGGTTTCATGGGGTTGGGGATCTGTGTGAGTAACGGATGACAGATATCATGGGCAAATGTTGACAGTCCCTTTTAGTTGGTTAAGCATAGGTGACATGTATATTTCTATCTGTATTGTAACACATAACAGAGGTTGATGTCAACATAATGTGTGAGATTTCATGGTATTTTAGTCAATTCACATTAGTTTTAACTCTTGCCATTATGTGGATGTCCCAGCTGTGCAGGCATGAGCCAACAACAGGTGGCAGCACATTTCTCAATGCCATCGTAACACGATATCTGCATTGGTCAGGCGTTAGGGGAACAGTAATGACGTCGCCGACCACCCACGTTCTGGGCATCCCCGAGTAACGACGCCAAGACAGGACATATGGATTCGGGTGACTCATCTCGGACACAGGTTCCAGACGGCAGTGACCACGTCCCAAACCATTCCCCAGGCCTTCATTTGGAAAATTTGGTAGCCTCTATGCGTCGTCGATGCCCTGCTGTGCTTCACGCGCATGATGGTCATACCCGTTATTGACTTTGTGACTTCGACGTGTGACCCCCGACTCAATTTTGAACTTCTGACGTCATCGTTACGGATATTGTTCTTTTGACATGTTGTTGAGGTCCGATACTTCAGCTTATAAAGTGTTTACATCATGTCGTCTTTTCTGTGTTGTATTCCAATTCTGAAGGAATTTTCTGTGTGCACAGTTTCTTTATGTGGCTAGTATATGAACCGAGAGCCGGGTCTTCCATCAGTGGATGTTTCATCTTCTGTTCCTCAGTCCTCTTGTAGCTCAGGTCTGAGCCCTTGGGTTCCAGCAGCTTGATGTGCAGAGTTACCTCCCTTGTACATGCCTTCAACTCTGAATTCTGGGTTTGAATCCATAAAATTTAGGTTTGTCTGCAACATACCAGTCCAGAGTTTCACTAAAGAGGTGGCCTGTTTTCTTCGGGCTCTTGCATTCTCATGAAACAGACACACCGTGATATGATTGAAATAGTGGGTGGGATTCAGACAGATTCATTCTCTCTGCTTGTCACAGTTGAGGGTCGAGAGGAGACATGTTGGATACTTCTCTATAGCACATCACATCACTGTGTCAGTGTGTTGACTGAGGAAGACATCTTGCTGGTTCAAGCTGGTAAAATACACTCTGAATAACTGAAACTGCCATGGTGCTGCCCCTATGGCAGAGTTACATCCTGATGGATACTGCTCATATTAAAGGGACATCTTCACTTAATGTACTTAAATACTCGGTGTTTTTATTTCCTTTTGTCTGTATTTGACCTCGGAGACATTTCTTGAGAAACTATTTCAACTGTCCATGGTATATTCATGTTATGATCTGGGAAGATCTGCAGTATAGACCAACTCATGGATAGATTGTCGGATTTCATCCATAAAAAGAAATGTCCCAGTGTCCAGTTAAAATATATTAAGGAAGTTAAGTTTCATTTCCAGCAGTGAGTGATAGTTCTTGTGTTATAAAACTAATAATATGAAGAAGAATAGCATTTTATGATGATGTATTTATGATATTTGAGATAATGTTTACATGCTTCATTTAAATAAAGCTTTGTGCTGTTTAATTTGTAGTTAGAAGTTTGTTTTTATCGTATTGATTGTGCCTCGTGAATCCAGATGAGGGACTACATGTAATTGTTTTGTTTATTCCTTGTCATCACACACGTGGGGTATGGGACACAATTGCATATTTCCAACTTTTGGGTGATCTGGCCCAGATACCAGTGGCAGGAGAACCACGTGTGGTGGATTGTTCTATGGCAGTACAACCAGTCATACAGGGTGGAGGGGAGTCCATGTCACAAAGGGGCGGTGGGTTAGGCCAGTGGTTAGAGCGTTCGCTCGTCACGCCGAAGACCCGGGTTCGATTCCCTACTTGGGTACAATGTGTGAAGCCCATTTCTGTTGTCCCTCGTCTTATTATTGCTGGAATATTGCTAAAAGCGGCGTAAAACGAAAGTCACTAACTCACTCATGTCACAAACACAGGAGAATACAATAGAATTCGAGTACGACACATTCAAAGTAGGTTTGACTTGTTGTTCTGGAGGGTTGTGTGCTAATTTGTCTGCATCGTGTACTGGATGGTTGATTATTTTAGTCTCATTTATCACACTACTTAAGTTATAGCAGGACATGTCGGCTTGAATATGGGAGCTTGTTTGAGTGGCATTTTAGAAGTTGAGACGTACAATATAGAACAGCTTTTTATGGATAACAACTTCTTTATTTCGTGAGTGCGACGTTTCGATACAGATTCTTGTACCGTTGTCAAGCAAGAGTGATACATGAAGTGGGGTAGATGAATATATATATACTGAATATAACAATGAGACAACATAATTGACAAAGAAAACAACATAATTGCCGTAATTGGTTAAGCAGTAAGCTGATGGAAGCCAGAGATGTACAAATACAGGAAACCAATTCTAACCCGGGTCTTCACGTGCTGGGCATCAAGGACTCCTGCTGTAAAGTCTGGACAGTGTCTGGATCAACAGTCAAATGTTCCGGCAGTTGACGTCAACCAGAGTCGGGTGCTTGTCATAACGAGTCAGAGTGGTATAAACGATGTGTTGAAAGTGGCATTAAACCCACTTACTCACTTCCACTCCGTGCCTAATACGACTGCAGGTTAGAGCCCACCCCAAGCAGTTCATTTAAACGATGACTGGTAATTATGAAAAAGATGATTAAGATAGAAGTTCACAATCAAGTCCACGTTTATTATGAATTTGCACAGCAAAATGTAAGTTTTCAAGTAAAATTCATAATTTATATTTATCCTTACTCATGAACAGCAAATTATATTCTTAACTACGACGTGTTTTGTGGAAATCAGTCGTTATGTGTAATATTCTCCCGTTTGACGTTATCATGTGACTATTACAAGAAAATACACCCTGATCCTATTCAACGCTTTTTCGAGTCCTGGAGGCCACCTGATCGACTTCCGGATCTGGCGGAAATTGAATCTTGACTTCCATGATATGGTCTGAAACACAAATGTATAGATGACAGGTGGACGCAGATTGCTATCACGGTATTCAAAGATTCATACGCGACCATTCGTTTGTCAGAATAGCGTTACATTGTGCAAGAGCGGATGTATTGCCTCCACAGAATACAAGGAAGAACAGGAGCGAGCCACTGACCTGTAGTGTATGTCAGCCATGTCGAGCAGTTTCTTTGAAGCTTTCACTTCGTCCGTGCTTTTTTTCTCATCTGACAAAAAGACGACTTCTTGGATTCCAGACTGGATGATCATCTGGGTGCAGTAGTTGCAGGGGAACAGGGTCACGTAAATCTTGCAGCCTTTCAAGTCAGCAGAGAACCTGTTCAGTATGGCGTTCATCTCAGCATGGCAGACTGGAAGTAGGATTAGAATAGAAGTGTTACCAGTTACAAGAATCCACTTAATCCCTTACCTCATTACTGTCACTACGTCAAGAGATCAGACCGTTTTACCATTTATTACGAAATTACTGATATCATGAGCTAAATTACAGATATCATTAGAAACATGACCTTGAGCAAATCTATAAATCCTGTTATAATATCACTAGTCCAATTCAAGATATCAGCAATTCTTTTCAATATGTTAATATGTTTAATCAGAGACCATATGGTCTCTGGTTTAATACGTTTGGCGATATTATGAAATTTATTGCAGATATTCATTTCAAGATATCTCCACTTTTATGTAAGATATCTCTAATTTCATTCAAGATATCTTTACAACGATTTAAGATCACAGTATTTGTTAAAAAATGTTAAAACGGCTTGCCATATTCCCTGAAAGCGTGTCTCACTGCTTATGACTTTATTTCATGGTTTGCCTGTCCCAGAACTGACAAAAATATTGCCATAAACAATTATCACTCGCTACGTTTATGTAGACTCAATGGGTAAATTATCCTTGTCATCAAGTATATGAGAATGGTTTTGATTGATATTTTTCAGAGATTCCAGAATAGTCAGAAGAGCTGCCCCTGTATTTCACGTTTTGGCAATCATTTGTAATATAAGACTATATAATTTCTAAGTTAATGCTTCAGTTAGAGCACTGGTTAATCACACGTGTTTATGTCAATAGCGATCGGGCATTCCGTTGTAACCAGTGCCAACGAGCCTTTTGTCTTTGTTCACAATACACGCTCCAACCTGTAACAGGAAGTACAGGTGAGTCGACTAACAACGGTATCTTTGAAACCTTGCGAAATATGTACTCGAAATATGTACTCTCTCTCTCTCTCTCTCTCTCTCTCTCTCTCTCTCTCTCTCTCTCTCTCTCTCTCTCTCTCTCTCTCTCTCTCTCTCTCTCCCTCCCAATCTCTGTCTCTCTCTCTCTCTCTCTCTCTCTCAACGACGATATCTTTGAAACCTTGCGAAATCTCTCTCTCTCTCTCTCCCTCTCTCTCCCCCAATCTCTGTCTCTTTCTCTCCCCCACTCTCCGTCTCTCTCTCCCACTCTCAGTCTCTCTCCCTCCTACTCTATGTCTCTCTCTCTGTCCCTCTGTCTCCCTCCCCCGCTGTCAGTCTCTCTCCGCCCAACTCTGTCTCTCTCTCGCACTCTCTGTCTCTCTCCATCCCCCTCTCTGTCTTTCTACGTCCCACTCTCTCTCTCTCTCTCTCTCTCTCTCTCTCTCTCTCTCTCTCTCTCTCTCTCTCTCTCTCTCTCTCTCTCTCTCTCTCTCTCCCTGTCAACATTGTTCACCTGCGTTTTGGGGTCTTTGCTTCTTTCTGCACAGACGAGTGCCATGGCCATGAAGTACGTCTCCCAGTCTATGTAGTCCTTCCCCTTCTCATCCTCGACCCTGCCCTCATTCATAATCTCTGTGTCACCCCCTTCCCTGTCACAAAAGTAGAGGCGCTATTTGTAATACAGGTCACGGATGTCAAATTGGCACCATGCGTGCATAACAAGCGTGTAGGTTCAACTGACACTAAGCAGGTAGGTCAAACTGACACTAAGCAGGTAGGTCAAACTGACACTAAGCAGGTAGGTCAAACTGACACTAAGCAGGTAGGTCAAACTGACAGTAAGCGTGTGGGTAAAAATGACACGAAGGTGTACGTTAAAATGGAATTATTCATTCACTTTGTGTGTAGGTTACACAGGCAAAATAGATGAAGGTTACACTGTAGATTACACCTGATGTAGATTACACCAGATGTAGATTACACCAAATCGGTGAAAGTTACACTGTCAGAATAGGTGAAGGTTAGACTGTCAGAATACAGAATAGGTGCAGGTTACACTCTCAGAATAGGTGAAGGTTACACTGTCAGAATAGGTGAAGGTTACACTGTCAGAATAGGTGAAGGTTACACTGTCAGAATAGGTGAAGGTTACACTGTCAGAATAGGTGAAGGTTACACTGTCAGAATAGGTGAAGGTTACACTGTCAGAATAGGTGAAGGTTACACTGTCAGAATAGGTGCAGGTTACACTGTCAGAATAGGTGAAGGTTACACTGTCAGAATAGGTGAAGGTTACACTGTCAGAATAGGTGAAGGTTACACTGTCAGAATAGGTGAAGGTTACACTGTCAGAATAGGTGAAGGTTACACTGTCAGAATAGGTGCAGGTTACACTGTCAGAATAGGTGCAGGTTACACTGTCAGAATAGGTCCAGGTTACACTGTCAGAATAGGTGAAGATTACACTGTCAGAATAGGTGATTGTTACTCCGGCATATTGAGGATCAAGTGTTGTGTAACTGACACTATGTATGTAGGTCAGAGACGTAAGGCCATTAACTGTTTGAGTTATATAAGTGCTTGGCATGTCCGAGTGCGTTGTAGCTTACATAGTTCGTGAGACATATGCATTGTATTGAGCTTAACCTGGTCATAGAGCAAATGTCTGTTTCGCTAAAACAGGACAGACTGATGTGCCCACACCCCCACGCCAAGACACACATATGTAGTTTAGGAAAAATCAATTTTGTTACACAAACAACATAATACCATCACAGATCTCTGGCAACAATAAGTAGGATTTGTATTTATGTTTTCATATATAGTTCGAAAGTCATGTGACACTAAACAGGCCACACTTGCATTCAGGGTCCGAGCTAACTCAACTATACAGCAAAACTATGGTGTCGATGTATATTTTGTCTTGAGGTGTCCACTGCCGTGAAAGTTGAGACACAGTTTTCCACCACTGATGTCAGAAGACGGTTATCTCCCAAAACTTCTACATGCCAAAACGTCTACAAAAAGTCAAGGCAGAATTAGGCACGTACCTATGGGTATAATAGAACAGCCCACTATTAGAGTCTACTGCCATGTGCTTCATTCTCTATTAGAGTCTACTGCCATCCATGTGTTTCATTCACTATTCGCAATTACTGCAATGTGTTTCATTCACTATTAGCATCTACTGTCTTATGTTTTATTCACTATTAGCATCTTCTGTCTTGTGTTTCATTCACTATTAGCATAGCTACTGCCACGTGTTTCATTCACTATTAGCATCTACTGCAACGTGTTTCATTCACTATTAGAGTCCACTGCCATGTGTTTCATTCACTGTTAGCATCTACTGCCATGTGTTTCATTCACTATTAGAGTCTACTGCTATGTGTTTCATCCACTATTAGCATCTACTGCCATCCATGTGTTTCATTCACTATTCGCAATTACTGCCATGTGTTTCATTCACTATTAGCATCTACTGTCTTTTGTTTTATTCACTATTAGCATCTACTGCCACGTGTTTCATTCACTATGAGAGTCTACTGCAACGTGTTTCATTCACTATGAGAGTCTACTGCCACGTGTTTCATTCACTATTAGCATCTACTACCACGTGTTTCATTCACTATTAACATCTACTGCCATCCATGTGTTTCATTCACTATTCGCAATTACTGCCATGTGTTTCATTCACTATTAGCATCTACTGCCTTGTGTTGCATTTACTATTAGCATCTGCTGCCACGTGTTTCATTCACTATTAGCATCTACTGTCATGTGTTTCATTCACTATTAGCATCTACTGCCACGTGTTTCATTCACTATTAGCATCTACTGCCACGTGTTTCATTCACTATTAGCATCTACTACCACGTGTTTCATTCACTATTAACATCTACTGCCATCCATGTGTTTCATTCACTATTCGCAATTACTGCCATGTGTTTCATTCACTATTAGCATCTACTGCCTTGTGTTGCATTTACTATTAGCATCTGCTGCCACGTGTTTCATTCACTATTAGCATTTACTGCCATCCATGTGTTTCATTCACTATTAGCATCTACTGCCACGTGTTTCATTCACTATTAGCATTTACTGCCATCCATGTGTTTCATTCACTATTAGCATCTACTGCCACGTGTTTCATTCACTATTAGAATCATGTACTGAACACTAATTGTTGCACATTACCGTCATGTGTTGGGCAGGCTGTTATACTTTAAAACCTTGTGTTTCATTCACTATTAGCATCTTCTGTCTTGTGTTTCATTCACTATTAGCATCTTCTGTCTTGTGTTTCATTCACTATTAGCATCTACTGCCACGTGTTTCATTCACTATGAGAGTCTACTGCCATGTGTTTCATTCACTATGAGAGTCTACTGCCATCCTTGTGTTTCATTCACTATGAGAGTCTACTGCCATATGTTTCATTCACTATTAGCATCTACTGCCATGTGTTTCATTCACTATTAGCATCTACTGCCACGTGTTTCATTCACTATGAGAGTCTACTGTCATGTGTTTCATTCACTATGAGAGTCTACTGCCATCCATGTGTTTCATTCACTATGAGAGTCTACTGCCATATGTTTCATTCACTATTAGCATCTACTGCTATGTGTTTCATTCACTATTAGCATCTACTGTCATGTGTTTCATTCACTATTAACATCTACTGCCATGTGTTTCATTCACTATTAGCATCTACTGCCACGTGTTTCATTCACTATAAGCATCTACTGCCATGTGTTTCATTCACGATTAGCATCTACTGCCACGTGTTTCATTTACTATTAGGATCTACTGCCATGTGTTTCATGTACTATTAGAATCATGTATTGAACACTAATTGTTGCATATTACCGTCATGTGTTGGGCCGGCTGTTATACTTTAAAGCCTTGTGTCATCTACTGTCTTGTGTTTCATTCACTATTAGCATCTACTGCCACGTGTTTCATTCATTATTAGCATCTACTGTCATGTGTTTCATTCACTATTAGCATCTACTGCTATGTGTTTCATTCACTATTAGCATCTACTGTCATGTGTTTCATTCACTATTAACATCTACTGCCATGTGTTTCATTCACTATTAGCATATTAGCATCTACTGTCATGTGTGTTTCATTCACTATTAGCATCTACTGCCATGTGTTTCATTCACTATTAGCATCTACTGCCATGTGTTTCATTCACTATTAGCATCTACTGCCACGTGTTTCATTCACTATTAGCATCTACTGCCACGTGTTTCATTCACTATTAGCATCTACTGCCATGTGTTTCATTCACTATTAGCATCTACTGCCACGTGTTTCATTCATTATTAGCATCTACTGTCATGTGTTTCATTCACTATTAGCATCTACTGCTATGTGTTTCATTCACTATTAGCATCTACTGTCATGTGTTTCATTCACTATTAACATCTACTGCCATGTGTTTCATTCACTATTAGCATCTACTGTCATGTGTTTCATTCACTATTAGCATCTACTGCCACGTGTTTCATTCACTATTAGCATCTACTGCCATGTGTTTCATTCACTATTAGCATCTACTGCCACGTGTTTCATTCACTATTAGCATCTACTGCCATGTGTTTCATTCACTATTAGCATCTACTGCCACGTGTTTCATTCACTATTAACATCTACTGCCACGTGTTTCATTCACTATTAACATCTACTGCCATGTGTAACATTTACTATTAGCATCTACTGCCACGTGTTTCATTCACTGTTAGCATCTACTGCCATCCATGTGTTTCAGTCGCCATTAGCATCTACTGCCACGTGTTTCATTCACTAATAGAGTCTACTGCCACGTGTTTCATTCACTATTAGCATCTACTGCCATGTGTTTCATTCACAATTAGCGTCTACTGACACGTGTTTCATTCACTATCAGAATCATGTATTGAACACTAATTGTTGCACATTACCGTCATGTGTTGGGCCGGCTGATATACTTTACTGCCTTGCATTCAATTTGCTCTACTAGGACATGTGGCAGTTAGTTCACTGTTATGTGTTGCACTTTCTGCTACACTTTACTGCTGTGAGTTGGATAGTTCAGAGGTCGTTGCACATGGGTCATACGAGATCTGTGTGCTTACCTCTGACGCACAGACCTATCTTAGACTATCGGCAATCCATGCGTGCTCATTCCCACGATTCAGAAGCCGGTGGGGTGTAGTAAATAAGCAGACACAGAAAATGTTTGTCAACAATAGGTTTCCTGACCTTCCTCCAAGATAAAAGACAACGTCACCATCTTCTTGTGAATAAATGTTACAGTTTGTTGAGTTTGTGGCATTTCAGATCATGGGGATTCTGTGTTAGAACTAGACCCCAGTAGCCTATGCTTGTGGCCAGAGAGGACTTCAATTTAAATGCGAGTGACATTGATCATTGTTATTATATGGCTTTTGTGTTACAGCGATGAACAAGTAAATAGAATGACAATTCTTTGCCTTTTTGAATTTCGTATTGTTTTACGCCGCACTCAACACTTCCACCCCAATCAAGTCAACCTGTAAGCAATTACGAACAAACAAACAAACAAACCGCAAACAACAAGCGCTGTATCTGATCCAACCTGCCCCCTCTAAAGACAAGCAGCAACGTGCTGCTGAGGACGTGTTTTAACCAGAGTTTCATATCATAACCTCCTCCTCCCCTCCCTCTGTGTGTGAATCAATGCATTTATGACAGATCAAACATAACCATACCCGCACCTACAAAACTTCAATTATCAATAGAACAAGGTCCACGTCACCCAAACATATACACATACACAATTACACTTCTGCCATTTAACGTCCTGCATTACCAAACATTTCTCAACGTAATTCACATACTTCATAATCCGAAGCTAAAAAAGAACCTTTTCTGCAATAATTAAGTTGCTGCGATTGGCGATAACAACTCCACACGCATGTCAACGATTGTAATTATAATTACGACGTTAAGCGTCACTCAGTACCCCGATTCAAAACGTAAATGTCCCCTAACCATTACCAGCCTTTAAGTAGACATAAAATATAATGGTAAAAATAGGAGAAATTATTGTCAAGTCCGGACGTGGTTGCTCGACTTAATAATTACGTGTGACTCATCCACATAACTGCAGGATTCTTATCAATTTCCCTTTCACCTCACCGAGCATTAGTTGTGTATATGCACATATATTAATATATATTCATCATCTCAAGGAGATAATATGTCCTACGTAGGAGATACCAAGTCCAACATAGAAGATACGTAGTCCTACGAAGGAGATGTTAACTACTTCGTAGGAGATAGTAATTAACGTAGGACTTAATAACTCCTACGTAGGAGACCAAATCTTTTTCACCTTGATCCTAGTACGCTTCCGTAGGAAGCAGATAGCAACATATGTACATGGGAAAACAACCAAGTGATAAGATAACAAAGCTAGAAAAGTGGGAATAGAAGATTGGTAATGCAAATGTGGAAGCCAGAATGAATGAATGCACTCAAGTGCCAAAATTGTGTCAATTTTTAAGATAGAATTTTCAGTCGCGTCAGGTTATGGATAATAAAGAACGCGTTGCTTACCTTATCGGTGTCCTGTTGCTTAAATATTTTGTTATGTGTCCCATGGAGATCAGTATTTGTCGAAAGTAGATGGCGGGAAGTGATATCAACAACCAAAGACAGAGACGACCTGACACTACCAATAGACGCGGGACGAAACATAAACGTCTTCAAATTCATCGCAGTACACTGATCGGTCAACATTGAAACCATTTTGGCACATGCATGAGTGTAGTACTGATGGAAACACGAACTAGATCTAATAGCTAGAAGATCTTCTACAAATGATATTGGTGATTCTCATGAAGCTGCCACATACAAGGTTTTCTTGCTAGATTTCTTGATTAGTTAATTAGTGCTGCTGCTGCAGGAACCATTCCTACTACAAAGCCATTATAATCGCTGCAAGCAAGAAAAGACAGCAAATCGCCTTTTTCATAACTTCAAATGCATCCACAAAGCATATACACAATGAATCTGCAAAATAAATTATCAAGGTAATAATTCCTATCAAATATTTCGGTGTCATTTATTGTACTGCAGCTACATTTTTGTCTGTAAGTTGAATACAGGGACATAACCATAATTCTCGTCTTCATTTTTCTCAACAAGTGAGTGAGTGAGTGAGTGAGTTAAGATTTTAAGTCACATCGGCAGTATTTCAGCCATATCGTGACTAAATTAAGTTAGAAATATATTAACAATTGAACGTAAATTATAAAATTCTGTCAACGAAGGACAGTAAAACAACTAGAATATCACAGATATAAATGTAAAACTAGTAATTATATCTAAAACATATTAACTATGTAGGACAACAGACTATAGAAACGGAGTGTAGATCGCCAAGAACTGAAGGTAGATCACCATACTAGGGACCTCGGGGACTTACAGTACCTCAACAAATGACATCAATACATTTACTTTGGTACAGAAGAGGAAGGTATATATCATATATGGCCTTGATATGTAATACAAATATAATAGCACCGTTATTGTGGAGCTATGAGAAGTCATTGCATCTCACATTATGTGATGTAACAGATGTATTGTCATGACAGTATATGATGTATACCCGAGCAGTATATCATGTATACCCTATCAGTATATCATGTACACCCTATCAGTATATCATGTATACCCTAGCAGTATTCCATGTATACCCCAGCAGTTTATCATCTATACCCCAGCAGTATATGATATACACCCTAGCAGTATTTCTTGTATACCCCAGCAGAAAATCATGTATACCCTAGCAGTATATCATGTATGCCCTAGCAGTATGTCAAGTATACCCCAGCAGTACATGATGTACACCCTAGCAGTATATCATGTATACCATAGCAATATTTCATGTATACCCCAGCAGTACACCCTAGCAGTATTTCTTGTATACCCCAGCAGAAAATCATGTATCCCCTAGCAGTATATCATGTATGCCCTAGCAGTATGTCAAGTATATCCCAGCAGTATATGATGTACACTCTAGCAGTATTTCTTGTATACCCCAGCAGAAAATCATGTATACCCTGGCAGTATATCATGTATGCCCTAGCAGTATGTCAAGTATATCCCAGCTGTATATGATGTACACTCTAGCAGTATATCATGTATACCCTGTGCCATGTATGCCCGCCCGAAACATAGTCCACCCTGTGATACAACTGTAAGCTATTACTGTACGTTGATGAAAGATCCTTGAAAGATATACTTTATTAGTTAACCTTTTTACATAAAACAGAACGTTCGGTGATAGTGGCAAAAGAGAAGTGGGTTGTCTGGACTGGGAGGAGTACTTCATGGCCACTGCATTTCTGTCTGGAATGAGAAGCAAAGATCCTGTGACGCAGGTAAAATGGGGACCACATCTCACGAATAGTCACGCTACATCAACACGATTGTTCTGCTCAAAGTACAGTGTGCACTCAACAGACGTATATGGTATTATCAACCACCCTCGCCTACAGAATGAGTCAGGTCACAGTCCCCCAACCCTATGATATGCTGGGGAGCTTCTCTGCCCCGCAGTGTCCCTAACAGTTGTAAGGAGAAATAACATCATGCATACTAGGATAATGTAGTAATCATGGGTTATTTGTAGGTCGGAGCGTGTATTGTCAATCCTAAGAAAAGGATCGTCGGGACAGGTTACAGTGGGATGCCCAACAACTGTAGCGATCGATTGTTACCCTGGGGTAAGGACAAGAGGGACGACAGCAAGCTTGGAGCTAAATATTACTACGGTAATTATTATTTGTTGCATGTAAACGTAACTGAATTTATAATTAAAATATCTTTGTGATCATAATGTTCTCAAACACACAGAAATTTGGACGGAAACTGTTCTCCTTTTAATTGCATGGCAAGAGCAGTTCAAACGTCAGTACCGCAGGTAATCAGTTACTCAGTTTAGGGGCTTTACATTTTCTTGTTCTAATCCCAAGGAATAGGGAAACGATCTCCAGAATGAGTACAAAGATTCACTCATTTTGTGCCTTTTTACTGGGCAGAGGCTCTTTTTCAATGGACTCGTAATCCACCTCAACTTTCGTGCGTTTATTTTCTGCTGGGGTATAAAAGAAATACTGCTGGGTGTACATCATATACTGCTGGGGTATACATGATATACTGCCAGGGGATACATGGAATACTGATAGGGTATACTTGTAATACTGCTAGGGTATACATGATATACTGCTAGGGTGAACATCATATTCTGCTAGGGTGTACATCATATACTTCTAGGGTATACATCATATACTGCTAGGGTGTACATGAAATACTGCTAGGGTATACATGATTCACTGCTAGGGTATACATGATATACTGCTGGGGTATACATGACATACTGCTAGGGTATACATGAAATACTGCTAGGGTATACATGGAATACTGCCGGGGTATACATGACATACTGCTAGGGTGTACATGATATACTGCTAGGGTATACATGATATACTGATGGGGTATACATGATATACATTTATTTAGAATATATATCTATATATGAAATTGTGATGATACTAGGTGTTCAAGAACAGGTGATCGACCGTCATAAACAAAATCACTGTAAATGGCGACAATGGACGGTGACTACTATTTACGTATTTTGTGTTGAAGACAGATACATAACCATCATTCCCGTTTTCATTTATCTCCACAAATGAACATCAATACATTTACTTTGATACAGAAGTGTAAAGTATATATCATATAGGCCTTGATATGTAATGCAAATATAATAGCACCGTTATTGTTGAGCTATGAGAAGTCATTGTATCTCACACACCATTAGTATTATATGATGTAACAGATGAATTTTAATGACAATCGACTTTTACCTGACTTCTCCTGTCTCTGATCCCGAAGCCATCTTAATACGTGGTTTGTCAGCAAGTGTAGGTAGACCCAGCGTATGACACCCAGCCCAGACTAACCCTGTTATATGCCTTTACTTACATTACCAAGGCAAGACCTGACATGTTTGTACAATTGAGATACCACCTGTTGTAACCGCAACTGCAAAGACTTCAATTGTTTAAATGCAAAATCAATGGAGATAGCTACCATATACGGCCATTATGCCAGAGCACAATAGGACTTATGGCATTCATGCTTCCTGCATGATTCCCAGTAGGAATATATCACTATTGTACACAACGGATCTGTGTCATATCGCGAAGAGAACAAGATATTTATGATTATTAAAAGGACTGCAAAACAATAACATCATTTGGTGTCAACTTCACACTAATTTAATATGTCGATGCAAAATAATACCCCGTCTTTCTTATCCTCGGAGACAAGTCCTTTTGGTTTAATGGCAAAACAACTGTGAATATAACGTATGGACCACTGAAAGGTCAGAGATAACACCAGGTGTTAGCGGAAAGGTGACTCAATTCCTGACCCACTGGTATCAGCCTCCAGTCACAAACTTTGCCCAAAGTGTGTAAGCATTTATAGCCTAACAGTGGCCTGTCAACAGACCAGATAATCAAGTGATCGATGAGCAGGAGCATCTACTTCCTTGAATACAATTAAATGAGACAAAGATATCAGTGACAATCAAAACTTACTTTTACTGTCATGTGAGCTCTGGTGATCGTCACATCAGGATGTCAGTTAGATCTGGAGACCTGCCATAACATGAATAATACTGGAGAAGAAAGACGATTTACACGTCCATTCCTTTTTGGAAATAACCAGCTTATGTGAATTTTGGCAGTGGACACAACGCAAATGTAAATAGGTAGGTTTTCCTTGGTAGAAATTTACCATCTGCTTCTGACAGTGAAGCCCTTGACTGGAGTGGGACTGTTTCGAATGCATGTACATATTACATGTAGAGTTTTTCCATTTTACTCCTTATAACATCCAAATGAAATAAGTCAGAGGGCACGACTCAGACAACAAATCCGCAAGAACCACTTGACTGCCTTCATTTCGTATCTACTGTACACGACGCCTCTGTGTCATATATAAACTCTGAATGATCAACGTTGCCAGTGATGCGGCCAAATCTGCAACCGTGCAACATTTTTGGAGGTTTACTGAGGCTTTGAATGTTGTGACACTCAGCAATCACCTTTTGAGCCAGAGTAGTGTGATGAAAGTTGGTAGATAGAGCCCCGGCTGTGAAAAGCTGGAACTGGCAGGATGCTACTCGACATGGAGGGAACTACTTCTGGAAAAATGTTGGGATCCGTTTTAGTCCTCAGAATAGTTTATAGTCAAGACAACGCTCGATATCGACTTGAGATAACCTGTTCAGACATGTAATAATACAATTTGTATATCAGAGAGTGATCTTTTTATACACTTGACAATTGTTTTGAAAACACCCTTCGCATACAACCATTTTACCAATTGTGCATAATGTGTTTTAGAAAGTTCATCCTTTTCAGGATCTGCTGAAATCATCCCACTCGTCTAACAGTCACGTGGAGAGGCTTCTGTGTCACTATGAATCTTTAATGCATTGATCTAAATATGAAACAGGTACAGCCGGTTGTATTGTGAGACCGCCATAATTACAGCTGTAATATTGCTGAGTGCGGTGTAAAACTAAAGTCATTCACTCACTCTATTGTGAGCACACTTGATGTTTATTCCCAATTACTACTATGATCCTTTTCTTGTAAAATCAATATAAATCCCATAGTCGTTTCTATGGCTTCACCATTTCTGAGAACTGTAAGAAACAGAGGCCTAGTTTCATTCTACTTTAGCACACAGTTCTTAGAAAGACTGGGGCTGTATCTTACTATCGGCACATAAACATGGTGTAACGTGCTCTAGTTTTTGTTTAATTGACCTTTCAGTTCTTGGAAAAGAATGATCAATATCTGATCAACTGCAACGACTGACACGTGATATGGTGGTCGTGGCCGTAAGCGAGTTGCACAAAGCACGTTTTCTTGAGGCATTTTTCATGCACAAGAAATGACCTGGTCATAAGCAGAGAGTATTCTCGAAATGCATCCACTTGGTAGCAAAATATTAGTTGTGTAGGATGCTACTGGACGTGGAGGAACTACTTCTTGAGAAATGTTGGGTTCCCTCTTAGTCCTCGGGATAGTTTATAGCCACTCTGAATCTCGATGCATTTTCACCGAGACAACGCACAATATCGACTTGAGATTCACCTGTACCGACAGGTTGATGTCCCCACTGTGTTCCTCTCCCTTCCTTGTCCACTGGTCGACATGAAACCGTATTCAATAGTATAACGTCATGTGTTAGGGTCAAGTCAAGAGAATATTTCTATCACTGTACGCTGCACTTGGAGAGGGGCAAATGTATGCAAGATAATACGGCTCAGTTTGATCCCCTTGCGTGACCTGGTTTCGGTTCTTTTGCTTGCAGTTCTTGGAAAGGGTGGAGCTCTTTCTGCTGATTGCCTATGGTCGTAAATAAAGTCATACGACACGTTCACGTGTATCGTATTTAGTATAGAACAATGTTAGATCTTCTTAAGATGACTTTGTCATCAGCATTGTTGTCGATGTGTAACTGGTGGTAATGTTGGGGACATTGGCAAGAAGAGGTATTTTCTCAGTAAAGTATTAACAAATCCGCCTTTCATTATATATATCCCTATTGTCTTTGTTGATGTTTATATCTGCCATTGATTTCATTTTTGGTTAGACACACACACACACTTGATATCATAATGACTACCATCTCACATTTCGATATTTTACCAGCGTCTATCTATTTCACTGATGTTTTAAGCAACATTGACCAGTGGCGATACATACTATCTTTATACAAACTGTACATTCAACACTTCTGTCAGTAAATGGTGTCCCAAATAATGTTCTCTCTCTTACAATTTCCTGAAGATATTGGAGTTGATCAATACATCGATTTAAAATAAAATATTCAGTGGGAACTACTTTCGATCTTCATTTTTCTTCGATCGTTGTAACAAATGACTTTAAGAGAAAACCTTTTGAATTTGGTATTGCTGATTGAGTTTGCATGTGTATTCATATTGTGGCCTGATTGACATGCCACTTATCACTTGTAATGGGATAAACATGATGTTTGTTCCAGACGAGATTTGAGCACTTGCTAAACAACATTCGCCATGAAACCGATTAATAATCCAGATTCATACAGAACACACTGCATACAAATCTAATGATCATAATAATCATAATGCATAATAATGTTATAATGATTAGAATACAACAGATGTTCCTGCATACGTACATCTAAAACAAACATTACAAACAGAAAGTGTGAACAGGTCTTCTCTAAAAGTCAATTCCTGGGATCTCCTTAGTGCCTGGGACGGAAACAATCCAAATTCAAATTAGGAACGCACCTAGCAATTTATGAAGCTGTAAGCATAATTACATAAAGATTAGTTTTGAAGGTCGATAAACTCATCGTAATAAAATCAACCAGCGGTCTTCATCCTTCCTCTGCCTCTGATGACGACAATGACCACTGTGATGACAAGCACAAGGATGATGAGTCCAACACCTCCGACAGCAGCGACGATGATAACAAGTTCATTGGACCAGGCGTCGGGGAGCTGTAGAGCAGGACACACAGAACCATACATAACTGTGTTACATGAATATACGCACATTGTTATAATGTCAAATTCATATTCTTCATCATTTATTTGGACCTGAATTTAGAACACTGTATTGATAAAACGCCTATATAAGTATCTCCTTCCATCAATAATATGAATGGTGATTTAGGAGGAAATAAAACAATCTATTTCTCCTGAATTTTCTTGGTTGACGAACCTGAGTTGTTGGCTTGCAGGACTGAAATGGCTTCGTCAGTCCTGGGGCGAGATCAAACACACACTGACCGGTGTTGCTGGCGAGGTCGACAGCGATGATGTAGACAAGTGCTTTACAACAGTCGCCCCTGCCGGAAAATACACATTTTTTTCATTATTTATGATTAAAACGTTGAGTCACCTCATTAGTGGGAGTATTTCTTCGAGTGAGGAGCTGGCATTGATGACAAGTGACAGATTGCAAATAATTGGGTTTTGACATGCTTACGTGATGGTAGCTGATACGATGCCGTTGTAACCAAGGGTGAAATTGTCGTGTCGGAACGATCCTGTTGCATTAATAGAAGCGGTCACTTGGTAGAGTCCGAACCCATCGTCTCTGATTTCAGCAGCCCCTGACCACTTGCACTGGGTCAAGCATTGTGACGTCACAACTACCTGTCACCGAGGTGACGTTGCAGAAAGGGATGGTGTCATTGTCTTCCTGAAAATGCAAGTAACCCTAAACGTCTCGGAAACATTTTGGACGAGTATCTTTCTTCCGACAGCTACAGCCGACATACGTCATTATTCTGTTGCGCTTACACTGGCAGAAATCTGCATATACTGACACTTATCTGTTAGTGCATATACTGACAATTATCTATAGGCCCTTACATTGACTTACACTAACAAACATATGTTGGTGCTTACATTGACAAATATCTGTTGTTGCTTACACTAACAAACATCTGTTGGTGCTTACACTGACAAACATCTGTTGGTGCTTACACTAACAAACATCTGTTGGTGCTTACACTGACAAACATCTGTTGCTGCTTACACTGACAAACATCTGTTGCTGCTTACACTGACAAACATCTGTTGGTGCTTACACTAACAAACATATGTTGGTCCTTACACTAACAAACATCTGTTGTGCTTACACTAACAAACATCTACAGGTCATCACGTTGTCAAACAGTTCCTGCAGGTCTCACACTTACCCTGACCACAGGCTCTTCTGTGGAGACAATTACGACATCGAACCGGAATTCGTCCCCAGTAGCGGCAGATGCAGACGCAGAAACGGTCACAGTGATGTGAGAGTGTGAGAAGTGACATAAGTACTGAAAATGTGTCTTGAATCAATAAAAGCCATAACTACGCTCAAAATGTGTAAAAACTAAAGTGTAAATATCACATC